TATATATATATATATATATATATATATATATATAAACAGTCTTGTTTTTCGTTATAGATAAAAAAGTGCTCAATACTACAAATATTTAGCAGAGCGAATTAATTTGTTATTTTAAAATGTTTCAATTTCTCGCTACTTTAAGTTTCATGTCACTATTTGTGACAATCATCAGGCGGTTAACTAATTCAGTTCGTTATAGAGGGTCCTGAAAGGGTAAAATGAGAACTGGGATTGATCTATTTTAGACTGGGAAAATGGGATTTGGGTTGCTGGGACTGGGATTTGGCCACTGGGAATGGGAAATGAAGTCCTCAAAAATGGGAATGGGATTGAGGTAATGCGAGTTGATTCCCAATTTTTCTACGTTTTAATTATTTTAAAATACAATTTTGATCCGTTTTTGGTGTCTTTGGTCATGATTTTTGTTGTTAACTATATTATTCACGGCACTACCTGCGAACAGGCATACTCTGGTGCCTGGAATTCTGGGTTTTCTGATTATGCGTGTCTCAGAATGCTGCAAATGCCATTTCCGGGATTCAAATTTTAAAATTTTCCGTGCCTTCGGCACAACCCCCCCCCCCCAAATTTCATAAGTGTGCGCCACTTGCACACACGATGGCTTAAAAGTCTTAAAACTTTTATTGTACCGATAAATAAGGGGTTTTTATTGACTGGGATTTCAATAACTCGGACTGGGATTTCTAATAATAATCCAACTGGGACTGGGATTTTGCCAAAATTTCAGGTGGGAAATGGAATTGGGACCCCCCCCCCCCTTCAGGATCCTCGTTATAATGTCGTGATCTATAGTTTGCTGACGTGCACCGTCATCATTCACGCGCGCGTTCAAAATTTCCCGGCCAAAATTTCTCGCGATGGCGGCATTTCGCGAATATCTCGGGTCTTTTGTTTAATGTTATATGCTTGTCTGCATCCATTATGCAGAGTTTTTCTTCTGTGCAGAGATTGCAACGCTTTGCACCGGATGAGTATGCGCCTGCCCGCTTCAGAATTGACCATTTTAGGATGTAATCCCTGATTTTGAACGCGCGCGCGAATGATGACGGTGCACGTCAGCAAACTACTGATAGATCACGACATTATAACGAACTGAATTAGTTTAAGTCGAAACCCATTATAATGGTAAGTATATTTTTTTCTACATCTTTATAAAGCGAAGTAAAAATCCTTGGCAGCAACCAAAAGAGAAAGAAAAAGAATTGTCCAAGGAAGAAAGGAAGACTGCTGTATGTTATTTTCATTTTTTGCTATATATTATTTTCTGTGATGATCATGAAACAGGATTTACAGATCGATGAATGGTCCGTCCCTCTTAGTCGTATATATAATGGCATTAGTTGTGAGTTGAAGTGGCGAGTTGCAAGTCGTATAATGACGAGTTAAAAGTCGAAATGATGAGTTACAGTACAAGTCGAAATTGAGTTATAGGCTATGTCGTAGTGTCACGTTATTATAAAGCGGCATTAGGGTCAAAATTCATTTTTATAAACAAATGATACACAATGCGCACAAAGTAGTCGCATGATACCAGGGCACAGAATAAAGACATACAGAAGTGTATCTTCTTATTAAAAGTGCGTAAGGGATTTTTTCAGTCCGCCATGTTCTTAGCAAGTGCCCTAAAGAGAGGCAGTCACCCCCCTGAAAACATATTGAAAATTTAATATTCCAGGGGGGTGAATGCCTCTCTTTAGGGCAGTTGCTAAGAACATGGCCGCCAGCTATTTCGGTAAAAAAGGCCTTACGGTTTTGTAATGGAAGTTACACTTCTGTATGTCTTTATTCTGTGACCAGGGCGCTTATATAGAGGGCGGTGAAACGGCTATAGGCGCGCCGATCGATGTGTGATGCAATGAACTGGTAACGAGTTTGTTGTGGTTACTATGGCGACGTTGTCTTATATGGCAAGGATAAATATGGCGGGAAAACTGAGCTAGAAGTTTTGACTGTTTTGTAGTCAAGTTTTGATGAAGAAATAGATATTGGGGGTAAAATTCCGATGTTATACGATAATTTAGTAGATTCTGCTATTGTATTTTCAGGTAATACTGCCAATATTTTAGAGTTTTTGCTCAAAACGCTTGCGAAAGCTTACGAGCGGTTGCTTTCGCAAGAAGCATGACGTGAAAGGTTTTTAAAACTCTTCGGATGTACACGTATCGTTCACGTTCGATAGAATACAATTCACAATTAATTTTAGCCACTAGTTGATCTTTTCAGTTGAAAATCAAGAAATGCTCAACTTGAATTTGTATTTTTTTAACGAATCCTTACGAGAAGTTGTCTTGGCCAGCCGGTCAAAAAAAATCAAAGTTGGGACGAAACTTTTTCGACTATTGCGCTCAACAAACGTCCGGGCGAGTCGTATTTTGATTCAAAGGCCAAGAAGTAAAATATGTTTACGGCTCAGAATTACTTCAATTGAATGCCTTAAAAGTCGTACAAAATTATTAATATAATAACCAAAAATCACGACATGGCCAAAATACAATTGTTGTTTATTTTTTTGCAGCGAAATAATGGTCTAATTAGGCAAAATTTAACATACAAAAATACCTCACTTTCCAACGCTGTGTATTCAATTGCTCAACTCCGAGTCTTATGAAAACTTTTGGAGATAAGCACATAATTATGATCTTTACCATCAACTGAATTTCGAAGTTTGGACGACTTGATAACATGCCCAAATGCTGTTTTGAAAATTTCCCTTCATTGAAGTCATCAAAAGCCCGACTCATTATCCTCAATATTTCTTTCAAAATTCAACTATACAGGCCAAACAAGCATTCGTACGATACACTAGTTACTACTTCGTCGTTACAGTGCAAAAACATCCTCAAGAATTTCGTAGTTAATGAAAAAACAGCAAAAATACAACAGCAGGAAAAATCACGCTCCTTGTCAACTTTTGCCGAAAAGCACGCTCGTGCCAGTCCTTTTCCGCATCACACATCGATCAGCACGACATCAGCGCGTTTCACCGCCCTCTATATAAGCGCCCTGCATGATACCGTTTACGATGGCAGCACACCGCGTTCACGATAGCGGCACACCGTTCGCAATGGCAACACACGTAACGTTCGCAATGGTAGCACAACGTTCACAATGGCAGCACACCGTTCACGATAGCAGCACAGCGTTCACGATGGTAGCACAACGTTCACAATGGCAGCACACCGTTCACCATGGTAGCACAACGTTCACAATGGCAGCACACCGTTCGCCATGGTAGCACAACGTTCACAATGGCAGCACAACGTTCACAATGGCAGCACACTGTTCGCCATGGTAGCACAACGTTCACAATGGCAGCACAACGTTCACAATAGCAGCACACCGTTCACGATGGCAGTACACTGTCACAGACTCACAATGTTAAATTTTGCCAATTACACACATCGTAGATGAAGTATATCGTTCAATATAGGCAATATAGTCAAATGACCCATTTTTAAGGAAATTTTAACTAGTTGAAGGAAATTATAAGGAAATTCGAATCTGAAAGAAATTTTAAGGAAATTTTGGAAGATTGAAGGAAATGTGAAGGAAATTGCCTTATTTCAAAAAATCCTAAGAATACGGCAATTTCCAAGGAAATGTGCTTCAGAATATGCTGAAAATCCTGTTCTGCGAGATGCAAAATCTGAAAATTTTCTGGGGGAGGACCCCCAGACCACCTGCTTATTCTCCTTAATCTAGGTAAACTCTGAACAAAAATATAGACTAGCCATACCTTTCGCCGAACATAACTTCGGCCGCTTTGGACGTAATTTCTTTGTAATCAGTCTTGTTCCAATCGTTATGAAAAACACTACTTAGAGTGTCATTTACGAGCCTGTATCTTCAAATCTGCATTTTTATCACGGTAACACATCTCTATCAAGCAACAAATGTTGGATGAATATTCGTTGTTCATTTTTCAAGACCCTTACTGTTGTAACTATAAGAGTTGCCTGCGGAGGAGGCTAGGGATTACCGATTCCACTGGATAAAGATTAAAGTATTCAACGCTTAAATCTCAATTACGTAATACATTCGTTATTTTTTCGTTAGTGTATGACATCACTTTATATATCGGTATCAATTACAATGACAATAGCACAGACAATAGTTTATAATACGGCAACAGTAACTTCTAAAATTAGGGACCGGTCATAAAGTAAAAGGTGGGGGTGGGCTGGGAAAATGATATATTTGGTGTCTGCAATTTTGGTAGCCCACCCCTTAATAGCTGCTCAAAAATTTGTAGCCCACCCTTAAATTGGTGCTGAAAATTTGTGACCCACCCTTTCAGAAAGGCGAAAGATAGCAGCATTCCATTTTTCTGTTGCCAAATAATTCTGTGTTACAATACTCAATAGCTATTCAAATGGTGCAATTAAATACAGAAAGGTCTTTCTTTGCATGGAACTTCCGATGCATACTGTAGTATCTTTCTCATAATTAGAGAACTTTAGTCTGACATTTACGGCTAACGCCAAACCTGTAACGCTATAATTGTGATTTAACTACGCTCTCATAGAATTACACTAATTTTGTTACATACTAAACATCCTGTACAATGCTGGTGACATTTAACAATAATATCAGAAAATTAGTTAGCCACTATCATATTAGCAACAGTGGAGGACACTTTACGAAACAATCGGGGG